AAGAAAAAACATCAGTTTCTTGAAAACCACGTCAGAGAAAGTGCGTATTCAAGGAGAAATGTCCGGAGGTTCAAATCCTATTTTACTGAGGTTCTCACTCAATGCAGTGCATCAAATGTTCTAGCGAATTGGCCTATACCAATGAAAAAGACAGAAGAAATAACATCGTGAAAAAAGACTTTTTTTTCCACTGAAGGACTGTGTAAATTTAAATTACCCCATTGAACTCATGTCATATCGTAAACGGAAAATTCAAAGATGTCTCATCCGAATTTACTGAGGATTCATGAATTTATCCAGAAACGTATACGGGATATCAGCTAAAAGTGTTTTCAGTGTTCACGAAATTAGTCTTTTCTTTTATATCATGCCTTCAAAATGCCTCTAAAGACTTTCAGCATCATGCCTCATTCAACATCATGGACAAAATCGCGTCACTATTCTACTCTGAGCAGTGATTGATAAAACGGCAGGCTACATCTTTATTCAAAAGAGTGCCGAGGAAAAAGGAGATTATATTTTAAGCAAATAGCAAAACGGAATGCTGTTTCCTTTGCTAGACTGTTTATATTATGGAGTTTTGATTAATAATTATGATTAATTGTAATTAATTATACATAATGTTAAGAACCTCCTGAACCCTAAGAGAGAATAATCAATATTGGCTCATGTTTTTTAGTATTTCGTTTTGACTGGGTACTGTGCATAGCATTTCGGTATTTTTGGTATTTTATCTTTGTTCTAATAATTATTCCTGTATTTAAAATACTGTAAGGAAAATCTTACTGCTTTGAAGAAGTACCAAGTGCAGAAAATTTTCTGAAATAACATGAAAGAATTCCATCGATTTCTGGAAGACAAACTTATGCAGATGTATTTTCAAAGGTTATTGCAATTCTGATAAATGTACATATCAAAAGTAAAAAAGAAATTAATGATAATTATTTTAATTTCTTAAGTAGTTAAATTTTAAGTTGCAGAATTCCAACTATTTGCAATAGCGTTAAAAATCAGGAGAATTTTCACATTTAGTCGATTATCTACAGAACTAACGGATATATTTAAATGAAATTTAGTATGGACATAAACTGATATAATACAATATAAATATATAAATATATATGCAAGATATAACAAATACGATAGCTGCTTTAAAAAAAAAAAATTGGCGCCCTCAAAATTAACATTCTAGATTTGGTGCTCTCCCCCTAAATTCATCTGTTCTTCCAGATTCGAGATCTTTCTATGTTACGTAAAGTTTAATGCAGATAATCTCCTTTCCAATCAAAGTAATTTTAAACCAAAACATTTTGACTCTCTCCCTTCTTCCTCTGCATTTCTATTGCCACACTTTTCACTTTTCTACTTTCGAAGTTCGAAAGTTTTCTACTTTCGAATGTAGTATTTGGAATCCGCGCGCTCCACTACTTCTAATTTTTCAATTAAGTTTGACAAATTCGTTCACCCGCGTAGAATTTTATTTAAATTCTCCCAGTTCCTTTTTCAAATTGTCAGTATTCCAATCACTAAAAAATATCATTTTAAGATCATACATTTTAACAAAGTGATGTCTTGAAATAAACTGCAACGTTTTCTCCAAGTTCTTAAACTGATAAAATCGTACTGATACTATTTTCTTTGAATTTTCTAAAATACCCAAATAGTTTTTAAATATTTGTTTTCTTTCTTTGTAAGATAATTTATCTGTAAAACTCGACATTAATTCTAAGTGTCTTTTAAGCGAATGGAAATATTTAAACTTGTTTGTTTCAATATCTTTTAAGCACACGTTAAGTTTGCGCTCTACGGATCTTCTCATCTCAAACAGTATATTTGCATTTTGCTCTCCTAGCCTTTTCTTATTTACATCATTATATAGTCTCTAAAGTTGTTGAAAAATATTAAATAACACAGCCAAATAAGATCCATGAGTTCTGGAAATTCTTGCTTATTTTCTGTTATAAAAATTCGAATTTCATCCAAAAACTCAACAAATTTGTGCAGCACTTGTCCATGACTCAGCCAGCGAACGTTATTATACATAAGAAGTCCATATTGAGATTCTACTTCCTGTAACAACTTCGGGAACTGTCGATTACTTAGAGCATGTGCAGGTATGAAGTTCATAATTTCAGTTACTACAGATGGAATATTCTGAAATTACTCCATACTAGGTTTTTCACATAATGTTTGTTGATGCAAAATGCAATGAAGTAATAAGGTACTAAACTTCTTCAGGCAGAAATTTCACAAATCCATTATGTATTCCTAACAGGTTTGGAACACCATCAGCTGTTACACACACCATATTCTTTAAGTCCAACCCCATTTTTACTGCAAGTTCTTGCTTTATTTCATTCACTCTGTCTTTGCGTATGGTCGTGGACGGTAATAACTCAGCAATGCAACTTATTCCTTTCTCATAACATTCAAGCAAATCGAACGAAAACAGCTAACATTACTTGTCAAATCACATCAGTGCTTTCATCAAGGCATATTGTAAACATCTAGATGTTACCTAAATTACTTTATTTGCTCATTTACTTCGAAGTTAGACTTATTTATTTTGACATTTCGCTCATTTTTATTATACTAGCTTCACATTATTCCTGCTGGTAGACAATTCTTTAATTCTACTGATTATTTATTGCTTTTAGGAAAATCTTCAAATAATTTGTCGGATGAGACTAGGAAACCAGTCTTCAGAAATGCACCATCAGAAGGCGATTTCTCGTGCTGTGCTACGCAGCGAGACATGAAAACTCGCTTCAGTGATATTATACTTTGGCTTATTGCTTTACTTTTTGTCCAATGAACTCACTTCTTTTTTCATTTTGCATAGATCAATTATTTTTATGATTCGTCTCGAAATGACGCTTTACAATAAATATATGAGATACTAACGTTACAGAGCACAAGCAATACAGAGCTAGCTTTCGTTCTTTCCCGCTGAGCATCGAATGTACGTAAAAGTATTTAATTTTCAAAATTATTCTTTGTCTCCTTGAGACAGTGTGAGAAATACTTTTCCAATATAAAGGTTTTATGTGACATTTATTTAAAAATTCAATTTTTGTTTGCGATATAGTTTGTTTGTGATTTAATTTTTTTATTTATGGCTATTTTGTCACTTTTTCAAATTTTTTGTATTTAGAAAATCTAATTTTTAAATCAAGGAAAGGATAACGTTCATAGGTGTTCTCATTTCCAAAAAAATCATTCCGCTGTATGTCTAAACGTCAGTTTAATTGCATAACACCTTTATATTCAAATATAAGAAACAAAAACCAAAAATGTGTCACTATTTGCAATTTTTATTTATTTTGGATTCTCCTTTTACAACCCATCTTACTCACGTGCTTCTCTAAGAAACAGTCAGTCTTCCCTACGGTGGATTGGGAGGATCACTAGTCACATTCCATTCTGGAAAATGTCATAATGGCGCCCATGTTCGTTTCTGAATCCGCCTTTGATGGCCGCTAGTCTTGGAGAATTTTTTTAGTGCTGGTTACAATAAATATTAATAAAAGTACTTTTATATGTACCTGTGGCGTACCACCAAAATACATGTCGCGTGCCATAAGTTTGCTCTCCTTGAGATAAAAGAATGTCGAGATTTAGTGGTTAGACTGAACTGAGATTCATCTGTGAAGAGAACAGTTCCTCATTGATGCTTAGTGTAAAGTCGATGTTGTCTTGCACCATGCTAAACGGACTCTTTGATACGCATAAGTGAGCGAGATGCATGTAGCAGACTTTCTTGTAAATAAACGAAATGTTTAGAGTCATGTATTCGCCCTTTCAGGGATGCAATTTGCCCTCAGATAATTTCTATGAACAACTAGGCTTATCTACATAAGCTTATCGACATCTAGTGTGTGATGTTTTTGGGCAATGAGGGTTATTAGACGGATGGATTGGCCAGCCTGATCTCCAGACCTAAATCCTATGGAATATGTTTGTGACGTTCTTCAATGGGCAACTTAAACACGTCTAATCCATCTCAGAAATTTCTAGCACCTGAAAACAGCGTTGTTATATGAGTTAAACCGACTGCAACAGGGACTGAGAAACTGCATCATTTCTAATATAAAGTTCAGTTTGAGATTTCCAATACGAAGAATATAAGATCGCGACAGCAAAATGTATTTTACTTTAGAACCGCTGTGGTAGTAAACCCAAAGTTTCAACTGTTGGAATAAAATTTTTTAATTATCAAAGAAATGCAAATAGAATAAGGTGATTTTTAGAGACTGTTTATTAGTGGCAATACCTTATGATAGTATTATGACAAATCAATGCTAACTAAAATAAAATACTGAATGTTAATATCCCAAAGTAGTAATAACAAATAATCTAAATTTTAATTAGAATAAAGACCTATCTCCAAGGAATTGTATTTTATCGATAAATTCTTTAATTATTCTAAAATTTTTATTGAAATTAATATTATGTGCTCGAGAACTAAACATTTTATTTTTATTTGTCAATTAAAGATAAAATTTTAAATAGATTTAATATTTAATTTTAGAAAAAAAAAACAGTTATATGAGAACAATTTTGAAAAACATTGTCAGGAGATAATTGTGCACACAATAACAAATTAACAAACATCTATCACTCTGCCCACACGCTTTGAACTTCATGTATAATATCGAATTTAATCATTTTATTCACAAAATACACATTTATGTTCAATACGATGTTTTAATGTCCTTAGAATTTCAGATAAGAGTAATTTTTAAAATTAGTGCCAGTTTATATGTGAAGGATTTATCTGTTCGTTATTTATTCATTGCTAATGCAGCCACAAGTTAATACACATTACATTTTTATTTAACAGTAATTATCGTCAATGGTTATTTAAGTACTTCTTAACACGTGCGTTTGCGATGAGCCCGCGCTTGCGTGAAAGCGCGCGTTATGGCCCGGACCAATGAAAGATGCCCGCGAACGGCGGAGAAGATCCTTCACACCGCCCATAAACTTTTTCTCAGACACTCAAAACGGCTATTAGGATGAACAGCTCGAGGTATGAAATGTTTCGGTGGTGAAGAAAAAGGCTCCAAACCCGCCTGTTATAATTTACAACTGCTCTTCATTTCTTTCTCCCGTCTTCTTTGACAGCTTTTTATATTTTTGTCTTAATCATCGGCGTTCTGACTATTCTTGATATTCCCGAAAAGTTTTTAGTCCGGAAGGCGGAATGTTAGCGGGCTGTGTCATTCGATGGGCTGTGGTCATATACGGATCAGCGTTCTTTCAGCATGGTAAGAAATTATAACGCATATTTATTAGTAATTTTTTTGTATACTTTAACTTTTTAACTGATTAAATATTTTTTTAATCTGTTTAAAATTAATGTTTGAAAATGATTAATTTTAAAATTTTCGTTCATAATAAATGCAATTTTTTTCATCTAATATATGTAATTTAATGTCTTACCTAACGATGGCTGTTTGTGAATGCAGTAATATTTTTTCAAGTTCCTTTTATGGCAGGAATGGAAAGTTAGATGAACTAAATCACGCTACTTCGAGAAACAATAACTTATTGTAGCTTGCTGTGCTCTACAGTTTGGCTTCCCTTAAAATATACAAGCGGTAACATGTTTCAATGTAGCATTAACAGCTGATGCTCGTTATAACGATGTTTATTGTAAAGACCGTTCTATTTCTAGTATTAGAATAAAAAGTTCCAACTGATCCACTTTCTTTATAACGATTACTCAATAAGACGCTATAATGGAATAATAATAATATAGAATCAGAACGCTATAATAACATACATAATCAGGACGCTATAATGAGGATCAGTTGTTTGACATTTGTTCTGCTAAGTCAAAGGAGAGTATTAACGGAACATAAATTAAATGGAAAGAAAAGCGTGCATCACTTTTAACATTTAATTTTATAACAATGAAAAACTAGCGAAATTTGCTCTTAGGAAGTATCTTCATTAAGCACCTTATTTGTCTGTGCACTTTTATAGAGCAGCTTACGAGACGCATATAATATAAAGTACTCGTAATACAGGCCTTTGCTGTAAAAGTTTGAAAAGATAATCAGTTCTAAAATCATTCAATATTTTTGTCAAATGAATATTTCAGTTTTAAAAATAATCAGAGGCCGCTTCTTTAGTTTTAAAGTGTAAAATCTTAGAGTTTAATCAATTAAGTAAAGTCTGATACAAAAACTCGCATTCCGCGCTCCTGCAAAACTTGATAAACCAGTCATTCCTCCGTACAGAATCATCCAACCGCTCATCTCTTTCTCGGAGAAGGATAAGGTTCGAGGAAGCTGCATTCTGGGTTATTATTAACGAATTATATCAAAGTGATGATTGTGTGAAACTGTAACATAACATGCAAAATAAAATGAATTTCGAATTATGAAATTACATCCATAAGTACTAAAATAACTTCAGAATAAACCGCACTACACTTCAGAATAAACTACACTTCAGAATAAACCGCACTTTGTGTGAAGGAATGGTATCTTTTGAAAATCATCAACGAATTAATGTTTTGAAAACGGACTAATAAATATTCTGTTATTTAAAGAAAGTTTATAGATCTAAAAGTTTTTCCCTCCAACGCAAGGATTCTAATAAATCAATTATACTCTTTCTGGGACTTGAAACATGGACCTTCCGATGCTAGTAGGACTTGGGAGTTACAACACGAAAACACACACCGGGAAGGCGATAGTTCTTTATAAGTTTTTTCATTGAGTTCTTATCAAGATGCTTAAAAGGGCAGTTCTCACTTCTTTTATAACTACAATTTTCCTTTTAAAACGAACGTTAAATCCTCATGATTAGCTTGCAAACTTATGACCTGATATTGACCCGAAACTTTTCTGAACTTATTCTAACGAGTAAATCTGATGAAAAGCTGTAAAATTATTCAGTTATTGTTCCAAAAGTACTTCTGAGAACGACATCTGAATATCCATCACACGTCGAGAATAATTCTGTAAAGCAAAGCGACACTCAACAATGAATATAACAGTCTTCCTCTGATTTTCATTCCAAGTTTACGTGTACAATTCAAACGCTGCCCCCGGTGGCGGAAAGCACAATACCGATTGCTTAGCATACAGAACTTTTTTCATCCAGCCTTCTGCATACTGTCTTGCCTAATACTGTCCTTCCTGTAGCAGAAATAAGCGCAGATATAAGCTGAGATGGAGTGGTAGTCTTATAACAATGTAATACTAAATCGCAAGCACCATTCATCTACAGGAGTGGTAACTCTCTGCTTGCCTTCGGTAGGTCTTCGAGAGACTGAACCAGTGGTTAGAAATTTATTTCACAACCAGTTTACCACGGAACGGTTGACTAAATGTCTACCGTTCCGTGACAACGTCAAGTGGTCACTGACTTGCTTCTAATCGGCCTAGGCCTCTATAACGCAAATCTGCTGGGAAATGTCTTCTTGAACTCATTTTTACACATGGCTATCTCGAAACTGTTTAATATACCGTCTTCATTGAGTAGTGATTCCCCCTTCTCCAGCTGGTTTTTAAGTTGCACCGTATTTAATAAGCACGGCGAAGGCAGTACCACTCTTTTGCAAAATTAATAATGCTTCTCGATGCAACATACTTTTATTTGTAACATATCCAAATTTCAAGAATTTAGAACTACTTAGCCGATTTTCGCGATTATTCACTTTGTTCAGTTTAACGCTTGGAATACAATGTAACAGAAAACAAATTTTGAGCTTAAAATTGCAGTATATATTTGTTTATTTCTAAAAGGAGGGTTTTAAACACGAATTCGGATAATATTTACCTATTAAACAGTTATTTTTTGATAATGCAGCAAGCATCCTATGGGAAATTAACAAAATGTTGTACTTAGCAGACTTACCATTATCTTAGGCAATTATGTTTGACAATATCCTTAAATTAAAATTACCTATTATAAAGTTTTTTCCTAAATATAAGAATAAGAGAAAGTAAATATTAGTCTAAGCCTTAAGTTTAAGTCTGGTAGACTAAATAGGAAATATGAGTTACTACTCCATGTACTTACTAAATATTAGTCAATGCTTTCTATCTGTTTTATAAGGAATTAAAATACGCAGAAATTTTGAAAATTCTGTGGGTAAAAACTATAATATATTAAAATTCACTTATAAATCATTAAAACGTAGTTGTATATTTTAGGGCATAACGTACGAAAGTGTTTGCATGAAATGTAAACTTACATTGTGTATAACATTGTTTTCCATTCTTTTTTTGTTGTTATTGTCGTTTTTGTGTTTTGTACTTTTGTTTATTTATTTTGGTACTACTGTTGTAAGCCTCATGTACACTTCAAATAGGAAGAGATATAAAATTAAAGTTAACAACAACAACAAAATAATAATAATAATTAAATGAATTAAAATATAAAAATAATACTATGTTAATGATTGGAAGTTTTAAACAATCATGCTGAATTATTGTTACATTACATCAACATTTCCATATATCAGAGTAAAGTAAATTTTCCTTCAGATTAACAACAATTTTAATATCTGGTTATAACGAAAGTTTTCCGCCAAAAAGCGTTTTTAATAAAGTTAGGGAAAAAAAACATGAAAGCAGTACATTTAGTGCAGAATTGAAGATAGTACCAGTAAGATGTAACTGCAGGTGTGAAAAAAAGGTAGAAGTCCGAAGGAGGGATGTCGGGGCCATATGGTGGAGGTGGCAAAAAATCCCAATCGAGTCCGTTACAGAATCCAGCTGGTGAATGCAGACACATATGGTCTTCCATTATCTTGATAGAACATTACCTTTTTGCTACGGAAGTCAGTTCGACGTTTTTCCTTAATAGCAGCGTCAACAAGGACTAACATCTCACTGTACAATTCTCTATCGAGGGTTTTACCATTTTTCTACGGACTTTTCCACGGCAATCCCACCAGATACAAAGCATAATCTTTATGTTAGTCAAATTGCGCTTTGAAATGCTGCCGAGGGGCTCACCGGGAGCAGACCAACCCCCATTTCGGCCTGTGTTGTTTAAGCAAATCCACTTTTCATCACAAGTGACGAGCCGGTCGAGAATTTTGTCCTTGCGTTGATTTTCGAGCAAATTAGTGCGGGCCCGAACACGTCATTTCTTATCTGCTTGAGTCAACTCATGTAACACTGAGCGATTGAATTTGTACGTCAAGTTTATGCGATGTACAGCGCGACTAATGGGCATGACACTAATGTCTAACTCCTTAGCAAGCTCTCAAGTGGTTGCATACTGATCTTCTTCCACAAGTTCTCGCAGGCGGACCTCATCAACATCAGTAGGCCGGCCAGAGCGCTCTGCTTCTTGAATGTCATAGTCCTTGATTTTGAACTTTAGGTACTAAACCTTCACAGTGTCATATGATACAAGATTAGTACCCAAAGCAGAACACATGATTTGGTAACATTCTGTAGCTGACGTTTTGCAACAGAACTGGAAGTAAATTATGGTTCTAATCTGGTATAGTTTCATTCCAGGCACCTTGTACTTAAAACGATACCTTTTTAGAAATTTGAAAATCTAGTGTTCTAAAGCAAGTCTCTTTCTTTCAAATGCTAAAAATCTTTTGACAAATATGATTAAACATGCCAACGCGAACTGTTTGCGCAGACGATACTTGCGGTGGCGGGAAACTTTCGTTAAAACCCGATAAATTTGTCATTTTTGAGGAAGTGGTAATAAATAAAATATATAACAAGCACTGAATAGACTATTAAAAAACTGGCTTGAAAGGTTTACGCTTATGTAAATTAATAAAAAGTAAGTGTAGATATCAATGTCTAAAAGGGCACGGAAGACAAAAGCTGCTACACATACAATTAATAGATGTAGGTATAGCTCTTTGTTAGTAATTTTGTGATTAATTTATAGAAATTGGAAGCTTGAACAATTCATACTATAAGTATCAAAATCAGGTACCTACATTAAATTTTTAAAAGTGCAATTTTTCATGAGAATCATAGGTATAATTTAGCAACTGCAACTGGCGCTTGGAAAACGTTTTATGTTAAACTGAAACTATTATGCAAAAATAATTCTTTAGTGGAAATTTTTCGTTTTGGCATATAATGTATAAGAGCCAACCACTGCGAATCACTAGATCTATTAATGTAAAGAAAGATAATTACTAGCTCCATAATTAGAAGCAAACATAAAGTTTTGATAGTGATAACTGATTGGTTGAAATGCAAACAATTTTCAGCATTTTGCGGTAGGAAGAAAACAAATCGTTCGTATTTTTTTAAGTGATAAG